GATCACCTGAGGTCAGAAGTTCAAGACTAGACTGGCCAACATGGTGAAATCCCATCTCTACTAAAAATGCAAAAATTAGCCAGACATTGTGGCAGGTGCCTGTAGTCCCACTTACTCAGGAGGCTGAGGCAGGAGAATCACTTGAACCCCAGAGAGGGAGGTTGAAGTGAGCCAAGATCATACTACAGCACTCCAGCATGGGTGACAGAGCAAGACTCTGTCTCAAAAACAAACAAACAACAACAAAAAAAGCAAACAAATAAAAACGAAGTCCTTGGAAAAGTCACTTAAGCCTCTCCTAATCTCAAGAAATTGGGCTGGAAGATTCCTAATCCTCTAAGTAAATCAATTTACTACAATTATGGTCAACCCTAAAGCTGGACACAATAAAGGAATAATTTGATGATAATCTGTAATCATCATCATCACATTTCCTAATTACAAGTGACAAGGTTCCCTTTTACTAAACCGCTTTCACCAAGGACATAGTTTAAAAGTTTGAATTTGCTGAACTCCTCCTCCAGAAGAAAGGAAGGGAGGGAGGGGAGGGAAGAAAGGAATGAGGGAAGGAAGGGAGGAAGGGAGGAAGGGAGGGAGGGGAGGGAAGGAAGGAAGGAAGAAGGAAGGAAGGAAGAAAGGAAGGAAGGAAGGAAGGAAGGAAGGAAGGAAGGAAGGAAGGAAGGAAGGAAGGAAGGAAGGAAGGAAGGAAGGAAGGAAAGAAGGAAAGAGGGAAGGAGGGAAGAGAGGAAGGGAGGGAGGGATTCCATCATCCTGAAAATGTTTGAGGTTTATAGTTTCTGCCAGCTTTATTCTGGCCACCTTGAGTGCTCTTAAAATTTTACCAGGAAGAATTGACCCTCTTGAGTTTAGATGAGGGAGACAAATTTTGTTTCTTTCTTTTTTCCAGATCCTGTTTCCCTCTAATTGCTTTTCTTCTTCTCCTGATGGAATGTCTCTCCTCCTTTCTCTCCCATGGTCTCTCTTGTACAGTCATCCTGAGCAAGTTGATTTCTAAGCAAGGGGTTCTTTTCACTTAGCTACCGTACAAGGAGCAATTATTATAAGTCACTGTTTGTAGAGAAAATGAGCTGCCCACATACACTCTTGGCTTATGTAACTATAATATAAGCTTTAAAACTTGATATATGTGAGAGTAACAATAGTTATTAGAGCTCCCAAAGGTAAACACTTAATTTCAAAGCTTATTTTTGAGTAACAGCAGAGAAAGCATAATTAACAGCAATGTACATTTAACAACAGGGCACAAGGGCTAATTGTTTGCCCCATTCTCTGCAGCATTTACTGACATCAGAGAAATTCACAGGTTAGAAAGAATGATTCAATTACAAAATATTTATGTCTAATTAAGAAGTATCATTTGAAATCTATCTCCACGTTTAGTACAGCTTATTTTTCACAACTAACAATTCCATGTCTGGTCTCTTCCTTTACTTGCAAAATCAAAGAAAATCTTTGATGATAAAAGTAAATTAAAATATATCTTTTATATTTTAATGTCTATGATTATGTCAAATCATTCTAGTTTTTGAAGTCCTTAAGTATAATTTATAAATTTACGCATATTAGATTCTTTAAAAAAAGACAAGTCCAATTCTAAATTGCCAAATTACTATCATCACAAAATGAAAATTTAATCTTTTGGTTTCTAAACCAAAGCAGCCAAAAAAAATCCTACTGTTTTAATTAAATACAAAGGCTAAATTTTTTTCTAGATTATTTCACTAATCAGTTCTTAATAAGGTTCCAATCATGCCAAATATATACGTGTTACTTTAGTTCTTTACGGCAGCCATGTGGGACAGGTTCAAAGCTTCCAGATTGTCTGTCTCTGGAAGAATAAGAAATATTCGAAGGTTAAAACACAAAGGGATGTTTCAGGGTCTGGTGCAAAGGTCACCTGAATTCTCATTTCTACTCTGTCTTGTTCTGTTTCTTCCTGGGGCTATAATAATTTCCTTTAAGAAAGCATCTCCATGGAGAATTTAATTCCTATTTGTAAGTTACATACTCACTCTATTTACTCACCCACTTTCTTACCATCATCTTCAGGTTGGAGAGCAGAAGCCATGGAAAACCCATCTCTCTTGGTTCTCAGTGGGGAGAGAGACGGCCGCTCTCCAGTGCATCCTGAGTGAGCGCCCTGTTAAGGCCTGAAGGCAATGCCTTGAGCATTAAGCCAAGAGTACAGATCCTTCCACCAGCAGATCAAGCTGCCACATGAAAACCTACACTCCTGCCACTTTTTTAAAAGCTGGTGTAGGTTCTTGGGCATGAGTCTCACCATCCCCACTGTGAGATGGCTTCGCCAAGCTGCCCTGCCAGCAGTCACTTCAGCTGCCAGCAGTTGGAAAAGAAATGGAGTGGAGAGAGCGGCTCTCTTCTATCCTGGCCTGACTAGGATTGCGCTAATGTCTTTCTGGAAGCAAACTGGAGGATTAGATACCTTTGCTAAATTTTTTAATCCAGAAATCAAAGCAAGCAAGATGTTCAGAGACCATCAGAAAGCTGTTTGTGAGTTAGGAACTGTTATGCGCTGAACTGTGTCCTCCCAAAACTCATCTGTTGAAGTCCTAACCCCCAGTGCCTCAGGCTGAGACGGCGTTCCATTAGCCCACACTCAGCCTCAGTTGGAGATAGGATATTTAAAGAGGTAATTGCGTTAAAATGAGAGATTTAGAGTGAACCCTAACCCAACATGACTGCAGCTTATAAAAAGAGGAAATCAGGACACACACACACACACACACACACACACACACACACGAATGACCATGTGAAGACAAGGAGAAAGACAGCCATCTACAAGTCAAGTAGAGAGACCCTCAGAAGAAACCAACCCTGATGACACTTCAGTCTTGGACTTCCAGGCTCCAGAACTGTAAGAAAATAAATGTCTGTTGTTTAAGCCACCTAGACTGTGGCACTTTGTTGTAGCAATCCTAGGAAACTGACACAGGAGCCAACAGCTGACAAAGGCGGTAAAGGCAGTCCTGACCCTAGAACTGAGGTCGAGAGCAGCTTTCCTCTTCGGCTCTTCATGCCACACATGCATGTACAACCACACGCTTGATGGTCTGGACAGCCCATCCCAGGGTCAGTTCCAGCAGTGAACCATTCCTTCTACTCAATATAAAGGATCTTTATTTTTGCTAAAGGACTAATACCTGGTGACTGAACACCTTATTTGAGTTCCTTTTTTTTTTTTTTTTTTTTTTTTGAGACAAGAGTCTCGCTCCGTCGCCAGGCTGGAATGCAATGGCGTGATCTCGGCTCACTGCAATCTCTGCCTCCCAGGTTCAAGCAAATCTCCTGCCTCAGCCTCCCGAGTAGCTGGGACTACAGGAGCAAGCCACCACGCCCAGCTAACTTTTGTATTTTCAGTAGAGACTGGGTTTCACCATGTTGACCAGGATGGTCTCGATCTCTTGACCTCGTGATCCGCCCACCTTGGCCTCCCAAAGTGCTGGGATTACAGGTGTGAGTCACCGTGACCGGCCTTTATTTGAGTTCTTAATTCACAACTCTGAATCCCAGACCTGCTGCCTGCATTATCCCGAGTAGCCTTCCAAAGTTGGCAGCCAGGTCTCCACATCCAGACCTTTCCATGCCCTCACAGTCCGTCGCTAACTCCACCTGTGTACTGACTCTGGGTTCGGAAGAACCTCTTTGCGTTTTCTGCTCCCCGTTTAGTTCCTTGAACTTGAACAGGAGAATGTTGAAGGCAATGTTAAGTTCCAGCATTCAATTATCCAGTAACTTGTGGAATTTCATTCAGAAATCTGTCCACCACTAATTTTTACATAATTTTTAAGCTAATCTCAGAGAAAGGAAGACGCTTTGCATCCAGAAAATTATTGCAAAGCTGCTTTTTAACAAGCAATGTGGAAGACCATAGAGGCATTGGAAATCACTAAGAAATGAAGCAAGCAATGAACAAGTTTATTTAGACTTCTCAGTTTAAAATCAATTCCTTGCTGTTTTTATTATCACTGGAAAACTTGTTTGCAAAATACTATAAGGGTAATAATGTAAACTATTGTTTGTTAAATGGTTTTCCTCTGTTATAAAGCTTATATCTGTTATTTTTCTATATTGTTTCTTTGTACCTTAGTTGCCAGGGAGAATTTCATTTCTATAAATAAAAATGGATCATTTTATAATATGCATTTATGGTATATTCAAAAACTGAGGTAACTATAGACACTTCCACTTTTTATTCAATGTTCAAGCCTCATTAGAAGGAAAAGTTGTAGGAAAGGAATAAATTTCCCTTAAAACTTGACATAACTTTCTTTTAGGTCTGTTACAAGTACTAATGGACCTATTTAAAACAGGAAGCTGAGGATGATGGCAGGGCTTTACAAGAATGGTACATGAGCAGAAATAACGTAAAGAAATTCTTAAATAGCCGAAACCATCTTAAAAGGCTCTTGTGATCTGGAGGGAAGGGAAGCTTTTCTGGGAGGAAGTTGAGGAAGGATTTCTTTAATTCTAAAAGGCTTTCCCAGGTATTGGATAAAGAAAAAAAAATACCGTCTGTCTAGTTTGCCGTGTTATTTACAGAATATACTTTAGATATTTAATTTACTTTTTGAAAGAAATCTCTCTATATACAAATTGTTCACCAATGTCTGTTCAAGAGTAAGTTAATCACAGTGTCAGACTTAAGAATTTGACTTTTAAAATCATGTAAAAATGACACCTTAAGAAATAGAACTTGTATTTTTATCCTAAAACAAGCTCAGTTTAGAGGTGCCTGCTTACAAACTTTCTTCATTTAATTGGTTTTCTTAATATGAAATAGAATTTCCAGAACTAATTAAAATTTTGTTCTAATGAATATTCAAGACCAAAATATGTTATCTTTGCAGTACAGTATATAGATTTTTAAGTCATCCATAAAGGTAATTATATTTTTTACAATCTTAAAAAGTCGTCTATTGTTATTGATGCCAAATGGGTTGTTTGTTTCCTCTTAGGCCATGGTTGAAGAAGCCATCACCAGAGCTGAATCTTTCTCGGTTATGTACACACCATTTGCGACAAAAATAAGAGGTGATAAAATAGAAAAAGTAAAAGACATTTTCACAAAAACTCACCCTGCGTATGCAGAGTATATCTACACAGGTAAGATTCAGTATCTTCAAGTTATCAGCTGATATTTTGTTTCCAATCAAACAAATACAGGGTCCTTTTTGGTTTATTATTTTATTGCTTCTGTTTTTTTCAGTATGCTGTTCTAATCTGATGACTTGAAATGGAAAGTAATTTTTAAGGTTTTAAATAAGGATAGCCTTATAGTTCTAGCACAGTATTCTTGTACCTTCGTATTTCTATATTGTAAGAAGTAGGGGTAAAACCTGGAAAATCTAATGTTTAAAAAATGAAGGAATGATGTGTGATAAAATGTCATCTTTCCCCTTATCCTTTATCAGTAAAGGATAATCTGATGATTATAGTATTTTCCTGCTGGTGCATTTTTTCCAGTGCCTACTATTTCTACTTTCTCCCCCAACTGTCTCACACCTCACATCTTCTTCTTTCCTTATGCTCTTGAATCACTGGTATCCAAATGAGATCTGGATAGCTGACAGTCCCGGAGAGGACACAACACTGGTATTACGTTTTTTTCCTTTCTTCGTCTTTGGAAATAACTTGTTCTCATTCATTCATGCAAAAAAATATTTTGTGCTACCTACTGTGTGTCAAGTGTTACTTTGGTTTAAAAGGAGGATTTCTTTCGTACTAAATTAGGAGCTAGTTAACAATGACTACCGTGTTAAGAAAATCTCTAAATGCATACTCCTGATATCACATCCTTCTATTCAGGCCCCTTCATCCCTTCTCTCAGAGCTTTGGGGCTGAGTCACTGAATTATAGTGTTAATAATGTACTCCATTACTGATCACTTTTAAGGTACCAAACACTCTACATCCATTCTCTCTTATTATTCCCATAATCCATGAGGTAACATGCTTCCCATTTAGGAACAAGAACATAGTAACCAGAGAAGATACATAGCTTTTCCAAAGATGTACAGCAAATTAGATAGGCCTTGGATTTGAACCTATGAACAAGCCACCAAGCTACACTATTTCCACGTGACAGAAACATTAAATGTAGGTCCTATGGATTTATTTTTCTCCATATTGCCTCATGCTCTTCAAAAGAAAGATATTAAGTAAATCCCACTAGTGATGACTGACTATAAATCCCTAAGAAACAATGGTAATTTGAGGGCAGAGAAAGGGAAGAGAGGAAAGCATAATACAGGCTGTAATAACCATTTGTGCTGACTTACTGAGTTTGAGCATTTTGTAAGAAAGTAAGTTAAGAAAAAGTATTCAAACTCATATTTTTTGTTAATTGTTACAAGTTATTCATTATTCTATGAATATTTAAAGGATTTTTTGGAGGGGCACACTAGGAGCACATAATCATATCTATCTAGCATTATGGAAAAATGAGTCTGATTCAGGGATTTCCGTTTCCACCCCCAGATCCATTGGTAATGAAGAGAGATTCATTGAGGAGATCACCAGTTTCCCGACTTCTCTTCTGGTAGAATAAGTTTAGTTATATTTAACCTGTTTCACAGAGAAGTCATGAAGATTAATTAATAGTTTGGAAGCACCACTGCCAAGAGTTTAGAAACAATAATAACATTAATGAGCCAGACTCATGTCTCATGTAATTCCATCAAACCTGTTATCAAGATGAATTATGATCTGTTGGCAAGACGATTCATGCTAAAGAATCTTACACTTTGGGAGAGAAGATAATTATAAGTTACTAATGATTGTTTCTATTATTTTATAATTACTAACTGCTAGAATGTGCTAGTGCTATGTGAGAATCTTCATAGAAAAGACAGCTTCTGGAGGGCGAATGTGAGGTAGAGAAAGGAGTCTAGGATTTAAATTTTGTTGGGACCGATCAAGTTCTTTGCTCTGTGGAAACTGTGCTTTGGGCTAACAATACTACTGCATTGGTGACATTATTTACCTCTGCTGCAAATAATTAAAGGTTTTCCCCAAAGCCATTGCTGGAATAATGGTGAAACAACTGCTTCTAACTGTAATGTACACAGTCTTGGAGGTAGAACTGTTTTTCCCCCAGACAATTCCAAGCTGGGTGAGGGCACACAGCATTAGAAGAAAAAGGTCAGGTGTTGTTTTCTGGCCATCTCTCCCAGAAGATGCAGAGAGGTGATTACAGCTGCATCAGTAGCCGAAGGTAATAGCTAAGAAGTGAGTAGCATAAAGACAGATAGGGCCTAGAAGAGTAGACACTTTGTTTTCCTGGCAGCTTCTAAAAACCAGAATCCCCGGATACGGTTTGGCTGTGTCCCCACCCAAATCTCACCCTGGATCGTAATAATCCCCAAGTGTCAAGGGCAGGGCCAAGTGGAGATGATTGAATCATGGGGGCAGTTTTCCCCCATACTCTTCTCGTGGTAGTGAATAAGTCTCACAAGATCTGATGACTTTATAAATGGGAGTTCCCCTGCATAAGTTCTCTTGCCTGCTGCCATGTAAGACGTGACTGTCTTCCTCCTTTGCCTTCCACCATGATTGCGAGGCCTCCCCAGCCATGTGGAACTGTGAGTCAATTAAACCTCTTTCCTTTATAAATTATCCAGTCTTGTGTATGTCTTTATTAGCAGCGTGGGAACAGACTAATGCATCTTCCTATTATCAGCCTTGTAGATATAATTTAGGAAGCTTCTATCCTGATGAAAATTTATTCAGCTACTTATTGTAACATATATTCATGCAGCCGGTATGACTAGACAGTCACACAGCAGAGGTGTACTTTTTACATAAGAGTCTATACTTTTTACCTACCTATTCTCTTCCAGTGCACTCAGTATAACTCAGTCATTTCTACCATTAATCTGTCTTTGGGACCTATCTAACCACACTCACCAGCTTCTTTCTCCTGTTCATGGGTTTTTCTTCTCCCTGTGGTCTGGTTCAGCTTTCATAGAGCTCAAGCATACCCTGTGTCCAAAAGGGTCAATGTACACATGAGGGAGACATCTTCTTCTCAATCTGTAGCAGGCTGGTACAGCTGCTTATCAGGTGGCTGGTGCTACTTGAGATCAGCTCTGGTGTCTTCAGCAGGACCTGAAAGATTCATTTATGTGACCCAAGGCACCTCCATGGGCTCTCCACTCTGTTTCTTGGCGTAGTTACTTCTTCATATCCACACCAGCCACCCTTACCATACCAGTTGGCCCGAACTAGAGCCACTCTCTGAGACTTTCTCCTCCTGCTGGGACGCTGGCTTGGGAACTTTCTGAGTCTTAATAAATCCCCTCCATTCCACAGGAGACTGGAGGTAATTGTAGCCCTGTCTTCAACTGGCTATGTTACTCTACCATTTTTCCCTTTCTGCATGGTCCAGCAAGCCAGGACCCTTAGGTCAAGAAGAGGATCTACAATGGACCTGGTGGGGGGCGTTGTTCATCTTTTCATTTATTCAGCAAGCATGTATTTACACAGTACTCTAGGTGGTGCTGAGAATACACCTGCTCCTCAGAAAGGACCCGACTTTAGTAACTTATGCTTCAGCACAAATATTTGACTAGATTTTTCCCTTTTCCTAGAGAATACGTTCAACTAAAACCGAAGCTCTAATCGTGGAATAGAAGGCTGACTCTAACCAAAAGAATCATGTAGGATAAACAGAGCACTTTGGAAATAGAGGTTGTTGCCACTTTATATGGCAAAAACTGGCTAGTTGTTTGCCAAAGTGTTTTCTTTTTGCCTCAGTCATATATCTAGAATCCATTTGCAGCCTCCCTTCCAGTAAGGTGAGGATTTCTGACTAATCATCAAGGGAATACAGACAGAAATAATATAAGCCACTTCCAGGCCTGACCCACAAAACCCTTCTATGTAAAATTCTGTTTCCCCATCCACTAGCTGAGGGGAGAGAAGCATGGAAAGGGATTGCAAGACAAAAGAAGCTGGATTCCTGAATGTCCATGTAGATGGTCACCCTCTGAATACTGACATGAATGAAAAACACAGTTATGCTTCTTCAGACCACTGAGATTTGGAGGTTCTTTGTTGAATCTGGCAACTTTAATATATTTATCTGCCTTACATCGTAACAAGTAGGCAGCTTCCTACCAGCTACAGTGTACACAACAAGCTCTTGCTAAGTCGATCGAATAAACACTCATCCATATGCAACCTACTCCAGCCTCAAAAACACTCAGAGTTTGGACATACGTCTATTCTTCTACCGCATACTCCCCCTCCACAGACAGCTACAGAGGGATGTGCTCATAAACATGTGTTTGTACCCACCCACAGAAAGATAATATTTCCAGAGACATACTGATGCTCCAAAAGATAAAACACAATTATGAAGCTTTCACTGCAGCAAGAGAAATGGAGGCTATATGTAAGAATTTCTAAATTATAGCAGTCATAGACATATATAGTCAACAGATGAAGGTCATACAACCCGCACCTTGAAGATCTTGGATGAAGAGCCTACCTATCAAAGTTTCGCTGGAGAAGTAATTATTATCATTAAAACTTGGAGACTAACGTATTTCATTCTCCCAGTGGAGGCTGGCAAACAAACCTCCAACTCAGAAACTCTGCTCAACTTTAGGTCACCTTCGTCAAGCATAGACAGTGTTGAGTTTATTGCTTCCTGGTCACATGACAGTGCGGTGAGCCCAGCACAAGCTGGCAGAGGTGCTATTGATGAGCAGGGAAAATATTCACAATGGAGCTCCTCCAGGCCGGATTTTCTCTCCAGCCAGCCCCCAATTCACAGTCACCCTTGTCAGGGATTTCCACAGGAAAAACAGACACAAGAGGTAAAAGTATAAAATTAACTCATTCTGAAATGTATTTAGGTTTAAAATTTAAAACAATTTATTGAATAAATCAATAACATTATATGTTAATTTCACAGTGATTTATCATGAGAAAACCCATTCATTTTCAGTGGCAGGTACGATTATATTACCTTCATAATTTCTATGAAACTGATGAGGGAGAGTTAAAATTCAAAGCTGCCTTGTAGAATAACCAGGTTTATACATGCTCAGGAACTTACTGTGCATCCTTTTCTGCTTCAGGAATATGATAAAAACCCAC